GGAACGCCCCGCCCAGGAACGCCCCGCCCAGGAACGCCCCGCCCGAGGAAGGGTCCTCCCTCCCCGGGCTCCCTCCCCTGAGCGGGCGGCCCCTAGGCCCTGCAGCTGTCAAGTCTCTGCTACGACAACGGGGAGAAATGCGGTCCCAGGGCAGCTGGGAGCCCAGGCAGCAGGACGGCAGCCCCCACCCCCCCCCGGATGCTGGGGGCTCAGGATCTGCTCTTGACCTCTAGGAAGCGTGTTATCCACATACAAGGGGACACTGCGTCCTTGAGGCCACCTCGCAGGGTGTTCGGGGACCCCCAAAACACATCAGAGCGCCCTGAAGCCGAGGGACCCTTCCGGCGTCTTGGGGGGCGGGGGAGGGGAGGACCCAGACACACAGTCCTTTCACTTGCGGCAAAAGGAGCCCACAGCCCCTGTGGTGACGAAAGGGCAGCGTCCACACCTAGAAACCGTGGCCCTGCCGCTCACAGGAGCTGGGGGACTCGACAGCCCCCGCGCTTGCTTTCGGCGCTTTGTCTTTAACCACCACTCGCTGGCGGGAGACGGCGTGCCAGGCGCCCTGCATCCGTCGCTTTGGTGCGGGACTTCGCTGGCCCCAGCGACAGCCGTCACCACCCGCACCCCACACCCGTCTGCCCCCCGGGGTACAGCCCACTCACAGAGTATCTGCTGGGGACCCTCGGCCACCCACCCACCCACCCACGCGGAACGAGCCGGCACAGGCCTCACCGTTGGGACGTGGGAGCACACGAGGCCGCCAGTAGGGCTGACCCGCACAGGAAGGGGTGATGCTCTTGCCCCATTTCCTTGCCCCCCCCCAACCCACAGGACTGCTCTGGAAGCCTTGTGTGGCCTGCTGCAGCCCCGAGGCCGGGGGCTCTGGCGGAATGCCCACTGTGGACATGATCAGAGAGCAGGCGGCCCTGGAGCCACCGCCGAGGAGCGTGGGCTCAGGGCTGAGGCTCTAAGGCTCTCAGCACGTGTGACCCGTGCCGCCCTGTGGGAATCGAGCCCCGGTCCCGGCCCCGGGACCGCCCTGCTGTGGCCCTGTGCTGGGCATGCCCGAGGACTCACCCAAGAGCTTCTGCAGCACCTGGCCGTCGTAAAGGTCCTCCTCTAGCTGCTTCACGATGATCCTCTCCTCCACCAGCACGTCGTTGACCCAGTCGATGAGAACCTGGGGGCAGGCAGTGTTATGGCCTCACCCGCCATGCCATGTGGACCAGGGCGATGACTGGGCAAGCCCACAACTGAAGGCGGCTGGACACCGAGATGGACACGCCCCGGCACAGCGGCTGGGGGTGCAGGAGATGGGAAAGGCCCATCTCCCGCCCCCCCCCAACACCTCCTGGGCTGCCAGACTTCCCGTGGGACTTCGTGAGAGGACGGGCAGGGGGCAGCCACCACGGTGGCCATGGACGTCCTCCTGGCAGGAACTTGGGTACATGGGGAAACTGTCAGCAAAAGGAAAGGATGAACTCGTTCACCGTGGCTTGGAGGAGGAGGGATTACACGAGGAACATTAGCGGCTCTGTCCCGCGTGGCCCGCGGCCATAAAATGTCCATCCCTCCTCTCCCAAAGGATCTGCAGCTCGTGTCACCCTGAGCCTAAGGCCGTGGAGAGAAGGGGGTCCCCTATGGCCCGTTACTGACAGGCTCTGAGCAACTCCCGTCCTTCTCAACGGCTTTCCTGAGACCGAATTCACACGCCACACAGGTCACCCTTCGAAAGTGTGCCATTCGGCGGTTTCTAATCTGCTCGCAGGGTCATGCAACCATCACCACTGTTAACTGGAGACCAGCTTCCTCGCCCCAAAGAAACCCCGCGCCCAGGAGCAGGCACCCCCTACCCGCCCCTTCCAACCACTCAGCTCTTTTCTCTACGGGTTTGCCTATTCTGGATATTTCGCACAAACGGGATTTCATATAAGTTACATGCCGGTATAATATGTGATCTTTTGTGTCTGGCTCCTCTCGCTGGGCAGGCTGTTTCCAAAGCGCATCCGCGGCGACGCACGACGTGTCAGTACTTTTTTCCTTCCTGTGGCTGAATAATATCCCCGTGCACGGATCTATTACGTCTCACTGATCCACTCGTCGGGTGATGGGCGTCCGGGCTGGCGCCACAGTTTTGGCTTCGCCGAGTGATGGCTGTGATGTGGGCGCACCAGCCTGCACGGGGACCCGCGCTCTTTTCTCCAGGCCAGCCTTCCGCTCGAGACTTTTCTCGACGAGGCTCCTCTTGTCCTCACCGGTGACGTGTTGTGAGAGAAGACAGCTTTCAGCGGGGAAAAGATCCACGGAGAAACAGGGTTCCTTGGCCGCGCCTGCCGAACGCACGTCATGCAACGAAATGGACGCCTGGACGGACCGGATCCCAACACGGCAGCTGGACCCCACTCCCCTGCCCGCGACTTGACCGCACCATCAGCCCCCCGCCGAGCTGCCTCCCCTCCCGCTTTCCAGAACTCTCTTCCACGGACCCCATGCTTGCCCGGCGTGTGCCCTCCTCTCTGACCGCCCCCCCCCC